GAACCCTCTTAACTTTTTAAGTATGATGAATTCAATCCTAAGAGTTCCACAATGTAGGAAAAGCAAGTAAATAAATGACTACACTCTAATTTACAGCACCTGACCCCTCAAAATACTATATATAAAATTCCTATCCTTTTTGGATAGGAAAAAAACTGAAAAGAAGTATGATAGATTTATCTTTACTTCATTGCCTGGGATAAGCCAGTATACTAGAAACAGAGTTTAGTGATCTGACATCCCTTACATCGGTCATTTCTCCCAGGCTTTTTTAAAGATCTTGAACCCTTCAGTCAATGAGTGTTCAGCATTGCAAATATTGTTTTAGTCAGCTTTCTATTGCTGTAACAAAGTAACAGGTAATGAACTTAAAAAGAGGAAAGGCTTGTTTTGACTCACAGTTTCAGTCCATGGCCTATTTTTGGACTGTGGTAAGGAAATATGTCAGGTAGGAGCACATGGTGCAACAACAAAGTCCCTCACCTCATGGCCAAAACAGGAGAGAGAGAAGAGACTCATACCACAGTCTGCTTCAAGGGCATGCCCTCAACCAAAGTCAGGATTTCAAATGAGTTACCTAGAATTAAGATTGGAGGCAAAGAAACCAATGGGGAGTCCAGTGCATGGTTGAGTGAGATGTAATTAAACCTGAGTCAATGGAGGAGGAAAAATGGCACAAGGCATTCTGGGAGGAAAGCAGAAGGACCTGGTGGTGGAGGAGAGACCCTCAATCACTTGGAATCTCAGACATCTTAAAGGAAGGGGGAAAATTCGGTTTTTCCTCTCTTCTAAAATTATCAACATTGAGGAATAAAACTAAGGCAAGGAATTTGAGAATCTGAATCTGAAGTATTTGCCTCCATTTGAAAAATCTCTTCTTATTAAATCACTGTTTTTCTGTCCAAGAGGAAGTGGTAAATTTCATCAGGGCTCTCATCACTCATATCTTTTTATTCAAACCACACCAATGAGAAGCACTATTTAGTTCATACATACACAGGTTCTAAAGCCAGGAAGATTAATTTTTAAAGCCTCAGACATCACTTTAAAACCAGCCTCTTGTTGATATTATTCTGCAAAGCCATACTAACATTGAGTAGTCTTTTCAGTAATAGCCAGCACGTTAAGGAACTGTGGAGGAATGCTAAGGTCGTAAGGGTATTTAATGACTACCCAAAGCAATCACCTTGTTTTATAGGAGAAGCTGAGACCAGAAAAATTATTTTACTTTTCAGTTATAAAACATAACTAGTGATAAACTCCAGGTTTCCTCCCTTACAGTGGTATTCTTTTGTCAAGTCTTTCACCTCAGTCTCAGTGATTCTGCCCTTCTGGGAAACACTTAGAAGCTGCCAATGCAGATCTGTTGCCTCCCTCTAAATATTTCTCTCCTGTTTGTCCCTGAAAAGGAAACATATCAGAGGACCTGCAAGCTGAGATGGAGTTGCCATTCTCAGCAGTGAGGTCAGCAAGCCCATAGGCCAAAAGAGCACATGGGACGAAGATGCTTGAGAATGCAACAGAGCGCCAACCTGACCTTGCCTCCCCTTGTCTGCTAGGTGCATTTGAAGGATGTGAACAGTAGTTCGGGTTCTGAGAAGCTGGGGAAAAGCACTGATGATTATCATCATAGGCAACAACTGGGCAATGAGTTCAAAAAAGAAGCAAAGAAGTATTAGCATGAACTCAACAAAACCTAAGCCTCACTAACCTGGGCCTTTCCTAGTCCTGGAAACTGCCTTAACCGTTTCATGTTCATGATTTTGTATACTTCTTCTTAAAAAGATCCTTCCAAACTGCCTAAGTGTAGGCTCTACAGAACTCTGAGGATGAGGCATACTCAACAGTCCAACATGCCCCTAAGAAACCCTCAGAAGTGTCTGGAGCCTGCTTTATCAGCTATTGCAAGTCCAAATGACCACTTTCTGCCCCTCTTTTCCAAATCATATCAATAGCACTGTTAGAAGTACAAGAGATACTGTTGAAACTTTATAAGCTAATAGATATTCCTTTTCATATGAATATTTAGAATCTCTTCTCTTGGTTATTAAGTTTAACAATTTCCAATGAAATTATATCTTTGAATAACAAGAATAGCTTAAGAAGCAATTACAGATGAGATGTTCAGTGGAGCTCTTTTGCATATTTATTACATTTTGGGTCTTGGAAACATGATAAAGGTAAAAACTATGAAACCTTGATTTCTATTTTGAGGAGATTTATCACTATTTGAGAAATATGTCCACTATGGTTTTATTTTAAAACCACAAATAAAGTTTTAACAATGGGCATTTCTCTTGTTGAGAGCTCTGTGGTCAGACTACACATTTCACTGAACCTGATTAGATCCTGAGGTTTTCAAATTCAATATCCAGAAAATATACAGTATTTCCCTATAATAAATAAGAAATAATTAAGAATGTCAAAGCTGATATAACTTGCCTGAGCTTGCTTCTCTTGTTCTGATGATATGATAGTTATATATAACCTTTTCTGGTGTTGGGCCTTGTCATCTATAGGTTTGAGACAATAAATGGCACATAATTCATCTTTTGACAATCTAGGTGACATTGCTTTGGATTTTTACATCAGCAAGACCTTCATTGCCAGTTGTCAAGCTATGGAAATTTTATGTTATTAAATGCTTTCTTTTCTCCCAATTATCCTGAATTCAGAAAAGTAGACACTCCATCATTATCTGAAAACAAAGGAACATTGAATACTTAATTATACACAGCCAGCACTACCCACTGTCTATTCATTCTTGTAACAGATTGCTGAAGAATGAATTTACATATTTAGTTGGAAATCTTGTAAAATAGAAACAGGATTGTTTTAGCAGTTTGCATGGTATCCTTGCACTGCTTAGAGGTCTAACACAAAATGACATGGGGCTCTGAATAATGGGAAAGGGAATGTTGCATAAGTGATCCACATAACAAGATTTGATGTCTGATATCTGTGTAAACACAGCATCACTGGAATCCTACAAGACCACATTGACTTCCTTAGAACCAAACTCTCTCTCTCCATGATAGTCTTAAAACAAAATATGCAAAAGTCATTGAGTTGTAGCATTTTCTGTAGCATTTTCATTGCTGGAAGAGATTTCCAAAGGTCACCTAGTTCATCCCATCTCCAGCCAGGACTCTTTGTAATACTGAATATAGCTATATAGTGATCCGCATTAAGAAAGCTTTTAAAGATCCCTGGGGTTGGTCAAAAAATAGCTAATATTGGCCTGATTCATAGAACAGCATTATATGAATGTCAGAATAGCCACCTTCATCAAGGAAGACATCCATCAGGGCTGTTAAGTGCTGGGACCAGCTTCACAAGCTTTATTTTTTCAGAGAAAGGATGGTAGATCAAGAAAGCTACCAAGTGTGTTAGTATTTTTTGTTTAGGTCTACATTTCAATGCTTATCAAAAAGAAAACACCATCATGTCAAAGACCAAGCAGGGAAGTCACTAGGGGTGACTAGAAAGAAACAGATCAGTAAGACTTCTAAGAAGTCTCTTCAAATAGCTAAAGAGCTCAGAGGGGAGGCTGCTGTTTTAAAAAAGATTCTATTAGCATCAAGTTTTTGAGGAGCAGATGATAAAACAATATTGACAGACCTGCTTTTTAAGTGATCTTTCACCTCTAATCAACTGAAATTGTTAAAGCTGATATTTCAACTTCATTAAACTGTAAAAAGGACAAGATTTCAAGTGTAATTTCACACTCCTAAGACAACTATCACACTGCTGTATTATAGAAAAAGTAGTCTTCCACTATTGTTTAGACTTCTAAGCTATCAGAGTTGAAATTTATACTGAAGTCTAGAAATGTAGAGCTGAAAGGACTACAGTTCTTGTCTGACTTAACTGCTTCTTCAAACCTTTCGGTTGACCTATACAGAGAACTTAAAGAAATGGGGATAAAGTAAGGAAAATGACCTGACAATTGTATGAAGTTTCTACTTGCTTTTAAGTACTTATATTGCATTTTTCTTCGTATTTCTATGAGTTTACACAGAAGCCTGATCAACTATGGGTGCCTTCAGAGGTGAGAATTGGGGTAGAGAGGCTGAGTGAAAATAAGATTAGAAGGCTTTATATGTGGTTTGTTTTTAATCTAACCTCTTGCCAGCTTTCAAATAGTTTGTACCTCTTCCAAAACATTAATTTGAAAATATTTCACTTTTAAAGACAGAAAAGCACCCTACAAGCTCAGCCAGATGCCCAGCCTGGCCACTCCCCTAGCCTTGTTTGCAATTCTTGACTTTGAAGATGGGAATTCTGTCATTGAGAACTTTTTGATGTGCACCTGAATATGAAGGGACAAAGAAATAAAGTCTTCAAGTCACCTTTCTTCTTTCTAAAGAAAGAAAAACTCCCAAAATGCCTCTGGTATAACATTCCCACAGTGGGCACCTAACCCTTGAGTTAACATGTATACCCACCATAAAACAAGGATAAGGAAACTATTTCCTTAGTTACTTTCATATTTGGCCAAGTAGCTTCTACCTGAGTTTACTCTTATCCCAACTTGCTGGATGTGAGCACAACCTGTGAGAAGTGTTAGTTTTAAGCTACCAATATAAATAAATTCCCATATTCAAGTCAAGAATTCCAAATAGTAGGGACTGAATCAACTTTAAAGAATCAAAATGAAGGGGGCTGGATAGATGGCTCAGCAGTTAAGAGCACTGGCTGCTCTTGCAGAGGACCCAGGTTCAATTCCCAACACCCACATGGTGGCTAACAACCATCTGTAACTCCACTTCCAGGAGAATCTGATGCCCACTTATGACCTCTTTGGGCACTGCACAACACAGGTGCACTTACACACATGCAGGCAACACACTTACACAAAATAAAATTAATAAAATATTTTTAAAAGAATCAAAATTAAAAGAGAGTAAGGAAAAGCAGAGAATAGCAGATTCTGTAACTTTTATTACAAAAAAAAAGTTCAAAACCTTTACATGCCATGTATGACACTGAATGTCATTTATAAGCTCACTGCAAGCAAATCTTTCAAAAATATACATACTGTATATATTTACATTCAAGTCTGGGTAACTGATGTCAAGGTATAGTTCAGGTTCTAATCTTTACCCACCCTGTGGATTTGTTCAGCTACTAACTAAACAGCGATTGTGTCTTCACTCAGGCACACGAAGAGGTAGAACTTCTTTAAAACAAAACAAAACCAGAGTGCAAATGTGAACATCATCATTGAAGCTGCTTAGCTACATCGGGGAAAACCTAACTACCTTTGGTCATGAGCTGAATATGCATAGCCTGTCCTTGAAATTAAAACCAAAATAACTTTAGTGAGGTTCTTTTCTAACCACATCAGAGGGTTGACAGAACTCAACAACTAAAAGATCTTCCACTCTGCACCCAAGAATTGTATATGACTAAGTCAGGCCACACAGCAAGTACAGTTGGGCTGGCAGCTGGACACCTCCCTGATAAGGCAAAAATAATATGCAAATAAGAGATACAAATTAGTATCTCCATACACAGCCTCTGGAACTCCAAAGCCAACTTGAGACAATTCTTTTGCCAAGTTAAACCCCTAGTTTCTGCTCACACCCACCTCCACCCCAAACTGAGCTCCTAAGTCTATATAGGGGTGGGGGAAGCCTGTGACATCTGTAGACCAAAGGTCATCAGCTTCAAGAGTGAACCTCAGGAAGGCTCTTGGGCCTGAGAGGGGCTTCCCGGGCTCCTGCCAGCCTTGGCTGGGCTTGTTTCTGACAGGGAAATCTGCCTCGAGGCCACAGAGGGGGCTGAAGCCAGAAGCCCCTCTCGTTCCCTTTTCTTTTGTTTCATCCTGCGGTTCTGGAACCAGATTTTGACTTGGGTGTCATTCAGCTGCAAGCAGTTGGCTATCTCAATGCGTCGAGCTCGAGTTAAGTACTTATTGAAATGAAACTCCTTCTCCAGTTCTGTCAGTTGCTTGGTGCTGAAATTCGTGCGAATCGCACTGGAGGGGCTAGAGGCTCCATATTCCGAGAGTTTGTCTGCAACATAAAAACAGGTCGTCAGCGGGGCAAGAGGATGTTGGGGCATGAGAGTGAGCGAGCAGCGGGGCTAGAGTTAGGGCCAAAGTTGTGCCAGAAGAAGCACTCCACCGAGAGCTCTTATGCTCTTAATTTTCTCAGAGCCTGGCACGTTTTCCAAAAGCGGGGCTAGGAAGACTTAATGGAATTGGCCTGTTTTAATAACGCATCGGACCTCCATTCCTCCATAAAACCCAAAGCGCTGTCCAGAGGCTGGACGACCACGAGTCCCGGGGCGCGGAGGAGGCGCCTTCTCCGACCACAGCTTCCTCCCTCAGCGCCCACCCACTTACTTTTCTTCTGGGCGTTCCTCTTCACTTTCATCCACTCGAAAGTGCTGAAGGCGGCGGGGAGGCCCGCGGTGGGAGAGGCGGGCTTGGCGTAGGCGCCGGGGGCCGGGGACGAAGTCTGGAAGGCCCCCGGGTGGCCGTCCGCAGGCTCCCTGAGCCGGGCCGGGAAGGGGCCCGGCTCGCCGAAGGCGGCACAGTCCACCTGGCCGCTGAGCAAGAATGAGCCGCCGCCCGAGAACACGGCCGAGGTGGCGTAGTGGACGTGCGTCCCGCTGTCTCCCGCTGTCGCCCGCCGCTCGCCCGAGCGCGCCCGGGAAGTCGAACGCCGGCCCCAAGAAGCCGTAGTCGGCGGCAGGTGCGGCGGCCCGCTCATAGGCGCCCTCCAGGGTGCAGGGCGCGTAGCGGGACGCCGCGGGCGGACCAGCGGGCGGCTGTGCGGGCGCGGCCGGAGGCGACGGCGCGGGCCGGGCGGCGGCCAGGGGCAGGCAACTTACGAAGGCGCCGTCGCCGCTGCCGAGGGGGAAGGCGGGCTGCAGGGCCACCGGCCGGGCGTCGGCGCGGCAGAACTTGGGTGGGAAGCCCAGCACCTCGCCACCCATCCCGCCGCCGCCGCTGCAGGACACGAACTCCAAGTAGGAGCTCATAGCTCCGTCCCGCCGTCCGCAGGACCTCCCCGTCCGTCCACGGAGCTCCGCCTGGCTGGCCGCTACCCCTGATGCCCTCGCCGCCGAGCCATGGGCAGCGCGCTGGAGGTAAATAGTGGCCTAATATACGGGCGGCAGCGGCCACGTGGCGCCGGCCGGCCAATAGGCGCCTTCCCCGCACTGGCCGCGTCTGGACTGGCGTGCGGTTCCTAGCGCCTGCTCCACCGCCAACTTAGCCAAAGCCGCCGGGCCTCCGCCCAGCCCCAGGGAGAGCCGGCTGGGGGCCCTGCGCGACGCGAAGGGCGGGGCGACAGCACTGGACACCAACGCCCGGAACAGGTATTGGGAGAGTCGGGCAGGGGGAGAGCGAGGGATGCAGCGGGGACTGCAGACCCATCGGGATGGCGGGGCCATTCCCCTGGGCTGGGTGCGAGTGTAGCCTTGCCCTGCGGGTCTCTTTCTGCCTTTCTCCAGGGAAGGTACAGTTCTCTCCCAGTTTTCCCAGGGTGGAGTTATTCCTCTCCCGGTTTTCCGAGCCCTGTGTGGTTTAGGGTTTTCTCGTCACTGTCCTAAACCTGGAGCAATGTTTGGTTTTCCCTCTTTTCCTGCCTTAATGAGGACTCAATGGGACCATCTAGGGAGTGAATGAAGTCATTTTTACTACTTTTTCTTTGCACCGTACCTCCCACAGCTCCCGCCACCTTCCTCTGCTGCTTCCACTTTGTGGCAGCAAGAGGATGAATGTTACAGTGCCAGTTGATTTGAGCAGAAAATCAAGTTTGTGTCTCATAGGGAAGTAGCCCGATGTTCCCCGCTGACGAGGTCATCAGAATAAAGAATCCAGCCTGTGGTGAAAAGCCCTTAAGCACTTTTTCAGAGACTGGCACGCACCGATGCTGCGCCCGCTTTCAATGAGACTCTTGGCTGGAGGGCGCAAAGGCTTCCTAGGGACTGGTCAGATCTCAGAGGTTTGGACTGGCTTGTACCTTAAAGCAATTAAAGCTTCTGTTCCATCAGATAAGTGCTGCGTCGTCTCTTGCGAGTGAAATCTGAGGGCTCACGATGTTAATGGGCTCACGTCTTTCCCTTGATAATATGGTTTTGTTTACTGAGTGTAGAGAGACGGGAAATAAAAGTGCAATTGGCACAGGAAATGAAGACAAGCTTTACATTGACAAACTTTCCAACTTCCTTAAGCATTTCTTTTCATGTTTTCCTCCTTGGGGCTTACGAAAATACCAAATTTAAATAAATACAGGTTATTTACACACAGTCATAAATAAATGAGGATGGTTTCCTAAAACCTTGTGTGAATGAAGATTTAAAAGACTGCTCTTAGTTCATTCAAGTGCCCTTGAAAACTTGTTATATTGCAGCCTCTAAGATATAGTGAGGTTTTATTACTGTTTTAAGGATCCACTTATAATGAAAGAGTGATTGATTGAGCCTTTACCTAAAATTCCCCTCTGAGGCAGTCTGGAACATAGGAGCCATCACAGGCCAGGGAGCCAGTTCCTCACAGGGATGTGGCCTTGTAAATAAATGAAGCTACACCAGAAGTGTTCTGCTGAAGGACCTACAGCTAGTGATGGGGGTTGGGGATGACAGGTAAGACTTGAACACACAGCTACAAGAATGTAGGGTTCTTGGAATGAGAGGAAAGCAGCATATCCACCCTGAGGAGAGTCCTTTGGCCTTGAACTAGTCACACTCTTTCCCTGAAGCAAATTTTTGTAGATTTAGCCTTTTCTTGGAGTAGAAAGTACACTAAAATCGAATGAGGGTATTGTTGTTGTTGTTGTTTTGTTTTGTTTTCACAACTATATTGAGAATGAAGGTTAGAAATGGAGGTTGGAATAGAGTTTGATATTTGCTCAAACCCACTGTAGTGCCCAGATGAACCGGTTCAGGAGGGCTAAGTTCTGTTTTCTTCCATTCTTCTTTTAGTAGTCTATGCATTTCCCAGGCTTCTAGGATCAGACTGCTATCTCTGCTCTGGTGTTGGTTCTTTTGTTTTTGCTTTTGATGTGCTGGGTATCCAACCAGTGCCTTGCACATTATAAGCAAATACTCCACCACTGAGCTGCTTAACTAGCCCACTAGCCCTTGGGTTAATTTTTTTACTTACAAAGACTGGAAGTCAAGACTCTAGTCATCTTATACCCAATTTCAGCAGTTACTTGTCAACCATCTATACTAGTAAGGGCATTTTATTATGTTGAGAAAAAGATATTTTCAGACCAAAGGAGCAAGATTCGTTTCCCATACAGGTCTTTTTTCTTACTTTTCTTTTTGTCTTTTTGAGACAGGGTCTCCCTGCAGTCCCAGCTGGCCTGGAACTCACTATGTAGACCAGGCTGGCCTTGATCTCACAGAGATCTGCCTGCCTTTTCCTCCTGAGTGCTGGGATTGAAGGGCTGTGCCACCACGCTCAGCTTAATACAGGTCTGTACTATAAGCCTACTAGATCTCTCTCTCTCTCTCTCTCTCTCTCTCTCTCTCTCTCTCTCTGCCTTTTTCTGTCTCTTTCTCTGTCTCTCTGCCCCCCCCACCTTCACACACATACACACATTAGGGACTGAACCCAAGCCTCACACAGGCTAGACAAATGCTCTACCACTATATCCCCAGCTGTACTTCAGAAGAATCTTAATCTGTGATTCTCTAAGGAGATATTGGAACATATTATTGGGGGAAATGTGCATAGGAACATATCAGTAGAGGACAATTTGAGTAACTAGTTTGTCTCAGATGTTCACAGGATATGAGAGAAATGACTTACTAATTTTATTAATTGTTCAAGTCGTGAATCCCAAGGGTCAATAGCCCCTGAGTCCTGGTGCTGTGAGTTTTCCATGGGAGGTGACAGCAGAAGAGCCTGATTGCCAGGGTGTGTTTGATGTAGGAATGCTTTGAAATAGCCTATCTGCTCTCCACAGCAGCCATCCCTACTCATTCCCACCCTCCCCCACTACCTTTCCCTCCTATTCTGTTAACAAGGCTCTTTTCTGCAGTGGTGACTGATGGTGGCCTATCTTCTGAGTGTTTAAGTTGATCTTAAGAAACCCCAGGGCACCCTCTTCCATAAGCCCCACTGTGCTAGCCCTTGGAGATACATGAACACACCCAAACCCTTGGCTCCACAGTCCCAAGGCAGAGAGGGTTCCTTGCCTGTTGGAGTAGATTAAAGGAATGTGGATGTTTAAACCAAAAGAAAAGAGATTTAAGATACAGTTCTCTCTAGCATCTTCAGTCATCAAAGGATAAAGTTAAGGATAAAAGGGTCCTAAGGATAGGAATTTTAAACCTTTTAGAAGTCTGATAACATGACTTTCCCTAAGGAAACAGTTGAGTACTGTGCCTTTCCCTGAGAGCTTTGCAAATGAGAGACTCATGGGCCAAGCCAGTTCTTGACACATGATAGGCATTTAATAAATGTCTGTTGGAGAGAAATAAAGAAGAGAAACAGTAGTAGTACACTTCACCATGATTCGTACTGGCTTAAGGAGAGCCTCAGATTACTGACTCCCAAAACTACTTTGTGTGTACCAGAATCACCATAGAAGTTGCTTAAAAGTACAGTTTCATTGTCCACTTTCAAAAATCTTAATCCAACAGGCCTCACTCATGAATCTTTACTTTTAGAAAGTCTTTTGGGTAAAGCAAAGTTCTTCAAAACCACACTGCTTTTCTGCTGTGGAAGTTAGGGTTGGGGGTACCAAATGGAGAAAAAGGAAATGCTTCTGTGGAAGAGAATGAGCAGTGTGAAAGGTCTTATCTAGCTGGCTCATAAGTGTGCCTGAAAAGCGCCTACAAATCCTTTGAGTGGCAGTGTAGAGAAGTCAATGTCAAGGCCAAACTTAAGTTCAGATCTCTGTGAGTTGGAGGCCAGCCTGGTCTACATAGTGAGTTCCAGGCAAGCCAGGGCTACATAGTGAGACTTTGTCTCAAACAAACAAACAAACAAACAAACAAACAAACAAACAAACTTAAGTCTGAATGGTCTACAGCTCTAGAACCTATCTTAAAGTGAACATTTGGGGCCAGAGATGGCTTAGAGGTTAAGAACACATGCCACTCTTGCAGACAACCTGAGTTCAATTGTCAGCACCCATTTCAGACATCAAAGAGTAGCCTGTAACTCCAAGGAATCCAATGCCCTCTTCTGGCCTCCTTGGGTACCCACATACATGTGAAAACACACACACACACACACACACACACACACACACACACAATTTAAAAATAAATAAATCTTAAAGAAGTGATCAGTAAGAAATTCTCAAGTTTTTCTGACAAATTAGTCTTTTCTAGAGACTGAGCACACTGCTACTTGTTATTTCCTTAGCTCACCTTTGATAGGTAGGGAGTGCAACTTGTTTCTGTTCCTTTTAGAGAAAAATCTAGGGTGGCTCTGAAGCTCTGTTCTGAGGGGGAGAGTGGGAATGGAGTTATTCAACTCTCCTTTCTCTCTCTCTCTCTCTCTCTCTCTCTCTCTCTCTCTCTCTCTTTCAAATTATCTGCAAGATGCATTTGAACCTCAGCAATCCAGAAGGGGTAAAATGTGCCTTGGCCTAAACTTCCTCTGGCTAAGGCTGATGTTTCACAGCCTAAGATGGTAAAGCTGGAAGGTACTTAGAGATAAGCTACATCAAACTGCTGATTTTAGAGAGGAAGTTGCTTTATTCAGAATTTAAAAAGTAATGCTGCTCTGCTGGAAATGATAGAGCTTTGATTCTGTACACTCCACTGTCTTTTTACAGTCTGCACAAAAGAAGAACCTGAAAGCCATTCCTTGGCACTGGCACCATGGCAGGATCAATCCTGAGCAAGCAGGACAGTGTTCAAGGTGTCCTCATTCCTGGGAGACTACACAGTCGTTAGGACTAGCTCCTAGGCCTGGTTCTCTCCCTTTGAGATGTGTTTTGCTAAACTCATGCCCTAGATTTGTGAGGCACATCTTGAGGCCCCTACAAGAATAGGCAGAGATACACCTAGGTGCCCACCCCCTCCACCACCAGACAAGGGTAAAGGATCCCCTCATTTCCTCTAGAGGTTGGCCAATATCAGGGTCCTGCAAGAACAAAACAAGAAATGTCCCTAAATTGATTTCATTAGATAAAGCAAGTACAAAAAAAGGACAAATATGAAATGGTCTGTCTTTTATTTATTATTTCTATTGGCATGCTCATGTTTTTTCTTAAACTCTTTGTGTGTTAACTTTTGTCATATTATGCAAATTTTTTCAGTGTGAGGGCTGGGGCTGTGCTCAGTAGTAGAATGCTT